CTCCGCAGGGAAACGGGGCGGGGAGCCGCGGCGGCCACGCAAAAACCCGTGCTCGCCGCCCCAGAAATGGGGCCTGAAGGACACGCTGATGTCACATGATGTGACCTTGGGGAAGGTGGGTCTGGATGGGACCCTCCGCTCCCACGCACGCCGTAGCCCGTGTTACTCAGGGCCAGGCTGCTCTTGACTCCGACAACACTAACATTATTATCTGCAATCGCTGCTGGCTGTAGCTAGTCATTGTTTGCTGACCTCCTGGTGTACCTGGTACCACAGAGGAGAAGATACTTCTTCTCTATCGCTACTATTACTTGATCTCTGCTAGCACACAGCGGATTCAAGGTCCTTGAAGGAAATGGGCCCTTTCTAAAGAGCCTCCATCGTGAGGGGCAAACACAGGCTTGTCCCCCCCCCAGGTAGAAAAGAGGTTCTGCGTGTCCACAGAGATGTCTCTGTGCCCTGGGTCTGTGGTTGCTGAAGTGGCCCCTACAAGATCCTGGAGCAGGGAATCAATCTTAGAAGAAGCCAAGAGGTTGCCCTTATTACCCTCTAGGAGACCAGGGAGGAGGACATGTTATCTTTCAGTCCTGCAGGCACACAGAACCAACACAGGTCCTCCACAACTTTTCAAATCCAAGACGGACAAGAAAACAAAACAAGAAAAACATTGAGAGATAACAGTTTTTTCCAATGCCAACCTGAGATTTCAGTGAAGAAGAAATCTCACTGCAATTATTACTGAAAGCAGATTTGGGGAAAAAAGAAACTGATGGAGGCCGGTGTTTCATGGAGGCTTCCATTCCTGTTTCATTGGTCTCTGTAATAATCACTCGTGTTTCCATAGTGACATCCATCTGTGTCTCTCAAGTTACCTATCAAAGAGTAATGAAATAGGTGCTTGCAGCTTCCACTGCAGGAATGGGGCCATAAACTTAGCAGCACACCCGTCGAGCCAACAAAATATTGCCTTGACTATGTCCAGGTGAACCAAGATACAAAAGTTACACTTCAAGACAGAGGGGTGAAGAGTCATGGTTAAAGGAAGTAGAAAACTGACAAACAATTCAATAAATATGGTAAATATTTTTATGTGCAAGTATTTGGGATTTTGGAAATTTGGGAACAATACGTAAGTGGTTCCCCTCTCCCTTTTAAAGATAGATCTCCCCCCTCTCCTCCCATTACTGTGTGATAAAGTTGAATATTATACTTGAGAATGAGTGCTAAATATCTATTTGTTCCACAAAGTATAAATTCAGAAAAGAAGTTATATTACAGACGCTTCTGTTATTTGTGTAATTTATTATTGACATGTAACTTTGCATAACTGTAAAGGCACTGCTGGCTTATTTTAGAACATAGTGTTTACAGTATAAGTAGCTTCAGAGCAAAATGGATGAGCATTTGGCATAAGGCAAACAGTGGTGCCTGGAGGCTATGTATTCTTTTGCTGCAGCAGTGAGTGATTCTGGTTCATGAAATCAGCCTTATTTCATTCATATCATAGGGATGTGGGATAGGTAGCCTAAGTCTCCACTATAATCTCCATGGAAGGTCCTCGTGGAATGCAGAAAAATAAATTCACGCATTTTATGTAGGAAGACTCTCTGGATTATCTAATAATACAACTGATCTGAGTGCAGGTATTTTACACATAAAATGGTGAAGGAGGGAACGGTAGATGTAAAGTTTTGGGGGCACTTAGAAATATTTCAGAGGGAAATAACAAAGCAACAGAATATTGTTAAA